TTTCTAAGATCTTGCATAAACATCTGGGTAAAGAGACCACAGCTATACTACTGAATTCCTCACAAGATGCAGTATCATGACAGTGGGTTGGAGGAAACCACCTGGGAAGCCTTGAGAATAAAAATCTGTACAAGAGGCATGAGTGTTCTTTGGAAACTATGGTCAATCTTGTAATGATGGGAACTAAATTCAAAGGTCTAGAAATAATTTTTTTCCCTTCTCCTATCAATTAGACTTTTCACAGGATTTCCATTCAAATGTCAAAGACAAGGAGGCACTATGTGAAGCAGAATGTGACAAATAATTAACCTCATAGATAGATTACATTTAGGAGAAATGATCAACCAGTGTTGGGCAAAGAAATGTAAATCTATAAATAAGGTGAATCACTTATGTTCAAACTGACACCATAGCAAAAGGCTGACCTGCCATAGAGATCTATGTCATACAGCGCACACCATTTTGTGAAATACAGCACTGAGATGACATGTTGATAAACATTGCTCTTTTATGATACACAAAGGGTGAACATCCATGCTATGAGCAGTTTGATGGTGTAGCTCACTGAGTGTTGATAATTCATCAAAGACACCAGGCAGAAGACTGTAAGACATTTCAGCTTTTTCTCTCAGACAGTGCCCAAAGGGTTGCAGCGGGCACTTGTCACACGAGCTGTCTCCTGTGTGCAAACACAGGGCTTGGTCCTTTACTCTCTCCTGTACAGCATGAATAAAATATCACAGAGAGACTGCAAAGTGAAATGTATTTCTGTGACAGCGGTGTCCAGATTACACCCTCAAAAAGAAATGCTTGTTTTACACAGGGTTTAACCAATCTACGCAATTTACTGCCACGAGCTATTTTTGTGGCTTACAGTTTAGCAGATTTCAAAGCAGGAAAACACTTTTACAGACATAATAAGAACACCTGCATTTACATTAAGTCAGATAAAAGGAAAACACTGGATGGGTATTAATACATAGAGAAAGGATAAGTTTCTCTTTGTCTGGACAACGCCCACCATAAAGTGAACTTATTTCTGCTACACTGGAAAAATGGATAAAAAAGTAAAGGCTAATCTATCAGGTATAGGCCAGCTTTAACTGTTCAGTGTTAGAGAATATATACAAGCACATTATCATCTCACAATTATATAAACATTTCTTGCACCTTCCTCTGTAACATCTGATCTGAGGTACTGTCAGGGAGAGGATATCAGAACACTAATGGCATGAGTCATTCTAGCAGTTTTGGTGTTTCTTCTTCATAACACATCTAGGTCTTTTTTGATTATGACAGAAATATCAAAATCACACAAAATAGCACAATGCCACAATATATACAAATAAAACTAAAATAGAACTGAAATCTAATCTCCTACATCCACTCCAACAAAAAATAAATAAGAAGTGGGAACTACAGGTTTTTCCCATACTAAAATATTTTGTAATTTTGTGTTAATAGCAAATCTCCTTTATAATTAAGCCTTTCCCAAAGAGTTTGGGTTTTTTCCACCATAAATCACAGAGTTGAGATGCAATTAATTTTGCAATTTTGTTCATCTTTCTTTCCTGTTACTTCCCTTTTTCAACCCTCCACTCTATGACAGATGAGTCTGGTCCTTTAAGACTGTTAGTTCTTCAGATTAAACACTCTAGACCTGAGCAGGAAAATCTGAGCTAGGAAGTGTGCAGGTGAAATGTAGCACCACTCAGGTTTGACGTCTCATGTCCTGACTCTCATTTGTCTCCTACTGTTCTTCCTGGTTCAGAACTGAGAGGTCTTCTGGAGTTTGCATGAACAAAATAGATCAAGCTCCATATAATGTGTGTGCAAGAGTTCCCAGCAGAATAAGCATCTGTTCTGAGCATTTTTTTTTATTAAAAACTGAAAATACTAACGACCATGACAAGCACAGCAAAAATTGTGAAACAGAAGGAAGTGACCCATTCACATGTGAACAAGCTAATATTCAGCCCTGTGGTGACCTTGCATTAGTGCTGTGGTTTGTTCTTCTTCCCATTATTCTTCACTCTGTTTCCAGATCCCCATTTCCTGTCATAGCTACTTGTTCAGCTACTTTGTTTGCACACAGGAGACAGCTCGTGTGACAAGTGCCTGCTGCAACCTTTTGGGCACTGTCTGAGAGAAAAAAACTGAGATATCTTACAGTCTTCTGCCTGGTGACAGCCTCTTGTTTCTCACCACTGCACTTCTCAGTACATCTTTGATCTACACTTCTCTTGGGCAACACACACAGCGTGCATTTTGTACTTAGTCCTCCCTGTTGTTTCAATTTACATTGTGAAAGCAGCCATAAACTACTTTATGCACCTTGGGTATGCTTGACAAACACATAATTCCAAGGGCTTGCCTGGTGCAAGTGTTCTTCTCCTGGTTAGGAATCACCTATGATATTCATATCTACAGAGTTCAGTGAGTGTAAAATCTCCACCATCCCTTGGCATGGTGGCACATGGAGGCTGTGACAGGACTTGACCAGTCGTTCCTCAAATTTCCATCTTTTCCAGGGTTTTGCATTCTGCATAACACAGAGTTAAGGAGGCCAAAGAGAGTACGGGAGTGAGAGCATCAATTTGAATTTTTTCTTGCATTTAACAAAAAAGGAGTGTTTGAAAGCTGAGACATGAGCCAGGGCTCAGGGGGACCTTATCACTTTCACAGTGACCTGAAAGGAGGGTGTAGCGAGGTGGGGAGCAGCCTCTTCTGCCAGGCAACCAGCAACAGGACAAGAGGACACAGTCTCAAACTGCACCAGGGGAAATTCAGTTTGGAAGTTAGAACTAATTTCTTCACAGAAAAGGTGATTAGACATTGGAATGGGCTGCCCACAGAGGTGGTGGAGACACTGCCCCTGTAGATGTTTAAGGAAGGGACTCAGCATGGCACTCAGTGCCATGGTCTAGTTGAAGTTGACATGATGCATCATAGGTGGGACTCGACAATCTCGAAGGTCCTTTCCAACCTAACCGATCCTGTGATTCTTTGAAGGCAGTATTTGGTTGTCACACAGCCAACAGCTGCCCTCTCTCACACGTATCACAGATAGTCCCTGCCCAGCAGGCTTGGCCCTCACCTGCACTTGGAAGAGCACACCTTGCTTTGATTTAAGCAGACACAACGCCAGGGTGAGCAGCTCCGGGCTGTGGTGTCTGAGGAAGGCTGAGGGAGGCAGCGGGAGGCTGAAGGAACCTGAGGGAAGCAGTGGGAAGCTGAGGGAGGCTGAACGTGAGAGGTTGAAGGAACCTGAGGAAAGCAGTGGGAAGCTGAGGGAGGCTGAGCGAGGCTGAGGAGGCTGAGGGAAGCTGAGGAGGCTGAGCGAGGCCGCGGGAGGCAGTGGGAGGCTGAAGGAACCTGAGGGGAGCAGTGGGAAGCTGAGGGAGGCTGAGCGAGGCTGAGGGAGGCTGAGCGAGCCTGAGCGAGGCCGAGGGAGGCCGAAGGAACCTGAGGGAAGCAGTGGGAAGCTGAGGGAGGCTGAACGAGGCTGAGGGAGGCTGAGCGAGCCTGAGCGAGGCCGAGGGAGGCCGAAGGAACCTGAGGGAAGCAGTGGGAAGCTGAGGGAGGCTGAGGAAGGCTGAGCGAGGCTGAGCGAGGCCGAGGAGGCTGAAGGAACCTGATGGAAGCAGTGGCAAGCTGAGCGAGGCTGAGGGAGGCTGAGCGAGGCTGAGCGAGGCCGAGGAGGCTGAAGGAACCTGATGGAAGCAGTGGGAAGCTGAAGGAGGCTGAGCGAGGCTGAGCGAGGCCGAGGAGGCTGAAGGAACCTGATGGAAGCAGTGGGAAGCTGAAGGAGGCTGAGCGAGGCTGAGCGAGGCCGAGGAGGCTGAAGGAACCTGATGGAAGCAGTGGGAAGCTGAGCGAGGCTGAGCGAGCCCCGCCAGAGGCCTCAGCGCGCGCCGCGACCCCGCGGGCACGGCGGGGGGCGCCAGAGAGCGAGCACAACACACACCCGCGCGGCCATGGCGGCGCTGATTGGCGGCGGCGGCGGCCCGCAGCCATGAGAGGCGGCTTCTGATTGGTCCGCAGGTGCGGACCCGGGCGGGGCGGGGCAGCGGAGGGTACATTAGGAGGGAGCGGCGCTGGCGGCGCGCAGGCGGGTAGGGGCGCGGGACGGGCGCTGCCGGGGTCCGGGCGTGGGCGTGGGCGGCGGCGGCGGCGGGCGACGCGTGCGGGGCTCAGGCGAGGGGCGGCGGTGGCGCGGGGCTGGGCCGTGCGGGGGCGGCCGCGGCGGTGGGGGCGGGGAGCGCCGCAGTCTCCCCGCTTCCCTTACGGTTTTGGTTTCTTATTTTTATTTTCCGGTTTTTTCTTTTTTTCCCCCCAACCCCTTCTCCGTGTTGAATGCAGAAGGTGCTGCATCCCACAGCACGGGGCTCTCCGGCCCCTCTCCCGTGGGAAGCGCAGGCCCGGGCCTCGCCAGTGAATCCCGCTGGAAGTGTCCCCGGGAGGGGACAGGAGTGGGGCAGAGGCGGGGGATGTAGCGCCCGCTGCTTCCAACCCTCTCCATCCGGGGCCGAGCGGGCTGGAGCTGCCGTCCAGGTGCATTCTCGCCTTTCCGTCAGCACCGCCTCGCTGTGGCCGCCGTGGCCATGCTGGGGCAGACACGAACGGCCCGCTCTGCGGGTGGCACCTCAATACAACTCGTGGGTGACTGTACTCCTTTACTCCTCCTTGCCCAGCAAGTGCTAGGATGGCTGTGATGTTGAGTAGCAGAAACTCTCCTCTTGTGGAAATCCGCTGACCCTCTGAAGTGTCTGTCCTGGGGGTGAAATTTGACCCTGGAAGCCCATGTGTATTTTGGCTAGTGGAGAAATTCCTAGTTCATTCTTAGTGCTTTTTTCTGGGCTGTTTAGTATGCAACCTAAAATCCAAGTGATTAAGCCTTTGAATGAAGGTGCTAACAGCAGCATTTTGTATGTGCGTTTTAAGTGAGCAGTCTGAAAGAACATTTCAGATGTTACTTTTCATTGTCATGTAGCCTGGTTGTAAAGAATCTTATTCTTCCAGGTTTGCAGAAGGCTGGGGATTATAGAAGTTGATTATTTTGGACTGCAGTTCACTGGCAGCAAAGGGGAGAATCTATGGCTGAATTTGAGGAACAGGATTTCGCAGCAGATGGATGGTTTAGCCCCTTACCGATTGAAACTGAGAGTCAAGTTTTTTGTTGAGCCTCATCTTATCTTACAGGAACAGACAAGGTAAGTAAATATGGTTGTAAGCACATTTAATTTAATATTTTGTTTTCAATTTCTGTAACTTACAAAAGTGTTTGCATGCGGTTTTCATTTTTTTATCATGTGGTAATTTTGCTTTACTTTTCTACGTAGTTTTAAAATCTCAGTGTTTTTGAAGTTTGTTTTTTGTTTGGTTTTTTTTTTTTTTTAATTTTTTATTTAATTAAGTTGGCAACATTAAGCTTCTTGTAGCTGCCAGTAAGTAATGAGTGTGGATATTTTTTTTGAGCACTTAGTGCTGGAGCGGTAAGAAACTTAAGTTACCAGTAGCAAACTTTTTATATGGTATTTTTGTGTCCGATAGTAACCTCTGTTCTGTGGTGTTACTCTAGGTCATTCTGAACCACTAGTACAGAAAGGCAGGAAACAATTCCTCCCACAGTGCAAAAAAACTTGCTGAATTCCTTTTTGTCTGGTATTATGTTACAGTAACTTTCATATAGCTACAGGCCCTTAGAGGCTACAAAAGAAACAGCTGTCTGGCTGCTTCTGTGGCAAGTCCTCTTAACTAAATTGTCGTACTGTTATTAAATCAGAAGAAATAGTCTTCTAAGATTGGCAGGGAACACTTGCTGTTACTCCTCGAGTTTGAGTACCACATGAATTGCAACGGAATTATCTTTTAAGAATGCTGTACGCATGTGTACTTAATGCTGACCTTCCAACTACTTTTTCCTGTTAGTTTTGGATAGTACAGTTAATATGAATGAGGCAAATGTAAATCTAGTGTCTGTATGATAATGCCAAAACCCATTTTCACTACTCACCTGAACTTGTCACTCTCAGAACCATTAACTTAGTGCTTTCAGAATTCAGACCATGAGTACAGCACGGTGCTTTTGCACAGAATGTTTTAAGAACTTGGTCAGAGGCTGACAGTCTGATTTGGTGTTTATTTCATAGGAAAAAGGTTTAAAGTTAATTTTTTTATCTAATGTGTAGGGGAGAGGCTTTTGGGGGGCAACGGTTCCAGCTCATCAAAGTGGTTGAAGTTTTCAGAACGATGTGGTGATAGACCATGGTTGTCCTGGTCTATATAATAATAATTTCAGTTAGGCAAATGCATTTAAACTGATTTCCAGTTCTGATATACTTTTATTTAGGAAATAATTTCTACTATCTGTGGCATATGGTGGAGTATTTTTCCTTAAAGAAACTTGTAAAACCCAATAACAAATGGGATTTGAGTCGAATAAAAGGAGCCGCACAATTTCATACCTGATGAGGCAGAAGAGATTACCCTGAGCATGTCGGATGTGTCTCTGATCACAAAGCAAATCAGGGTGAAAATCTCAGGAAACCTCAAAGTGGTGTTTTTATGCTATCATTGATGAATGCTTGTTCAACTTCACAAGGCTTTTACAGATGTCTGTGTCCCTGCATTCCACACTATCAATGCAAGACCTGGCAGGAGGTGGAAGTTAATAGAGAGGTTGAACTGGTGAAACATGCCCCAAGGGGCCTCAAATACTGGCTTGTGTCGCTAAAATGTTACAGAGTTTATATATCTAACATCAAAGCAGCAAGTATTTCTCCACTGTAAAGATTATTTAAAAGGATATAGGTGGGGCAAACTTTCTTTTAGGTATTAAGACTGTTCTGAAACTAATATTTTTAACAAACAATTTAAAAATTAACCCGGGCTTAGGCATCAGAAGAGATATATTAAAACCAAATACAAGTTGTATGTCAGGTTTTAATAACTGCCTTTTAGTTCGTCCACAGGTAGCAGACCTAGAATTCCAGTGCCTGTGGTAAATGTCTATTCTCCTGGATTGTTGACACTGAGTTTTAGTAGAGTGGGTTTTTTTTCTACTCAGGTCTGCTTGAGGATTTACATATGCATGTAACTGTGAATTCATGCTTAGTTTATGTGTAAACATCAAGGAGAAGATTAAAAACTTGTAAACCTGTTGCCAAACTTAAGAATCAATAGGTATATCCTAGAATTGCAAGGATTAGCTGTACAGTTAAAGCTGACACATTGTTTCATCTTTATCTGCAAAGTCGGTGAAGAAAGTGATGGTTATCCTTAGTTTCCTTTAGCTGTTGTGTCCATATTTGATGTATGGGGTGTTTCTGGCAGAGCTGTTGCCTTGTGGTCCTGTGTGTGAAGAATGCTGGGGAAGTTTTCCAGTCTTTTGCTTGCAGCTTCTGATCCTGTTTTTACATAGAAATTAGATGCATGTTGAGACCGCTTTTGAAACCTGAGAAGCTGTAAGTAATTCTAAATTTTGTTGATGTGCTTTATCATTATCATAATGGCAAACGCTGTGGCTGAGTTACCAGGTTTTTTTCTGCATGCTTAGGAACCTTTGCCAACCCCAGTTGCAGTACTTCATTGGGACCCTTGCCTTGCACTTGAGTTCAGAACTTAGGTGTATGTTTGTTTGTAGCAATTTAATGTTCAGGTTTCTACATGCTGTGAAAGCCGATCTGGCAACAGAGCGTCAGCCTCTGCTTCTGTTATCTTTATCAGCCCAGAGGAAAATTGCAGCCCATTTTAATATTCTTATACAATGCTACAGAGCACAAAGAGAAGGTTATAATTTTGCCTCTGACCACTGTGGCAACAAACCACGTTCACTAAGTGTTTTGGGAATCTGAGAATTGTGTGGAGAAACCCTTTTTATTGCACTTTTTTTACAAGGTTAAAAGCAGTTTATTTCTGTTATTCTTTAGATCTCAACTTTTAGGTTTTTTATTTGACTACCTGGTACTGAACTGCACCACGATTTCATAGTTTAGAATTGTTTTCAATGGAAAAAAAAAGTGCTTCAGTGCAAGAATGTAATTCAAATTTAATCTGCTGCTGTCAGAGATTTACTAACAAGTCAGAGAAGTGAGCAGTGTGCTGCTTTAGAGAAGTTTGAAGAGCTAGCTGGAAGTTTTCTTTAGCATGGAAAATCACACTGGATTGAAAAGGATCGTTATCTCTTTGCTTAAAGACACACATGATGGTCCAAGATCGCGATCATAACTCTGGCTTGTGTCTTGTTCATTTTCACTGTATTTCTTTGATAGATCACGCAACAAAAAAAGCAAATCTGCTTTTCACTTCTTTACTGAATGACTTGTGGGTGGTTCATCTATCAAAAGTGAAGTGTTGAATTGCAGTAAGGAGCTGCGGCTTAGAGAAACGATTATCCTTCGCTAATCGGAATTTTCAGGAGACTTTTTGCCGGGGGTGGGGCCGGGAGGAGGTGCCCGGCAGCGGTGCGGGCCGGGCGGTCCCGCCGTGCCGGGTGCGGTGTCCGGGGGCAGTGACCGGGAGCCAGCTCCGGTTTGAGATACCGCAACCCCTGCCCAGGGCAGAGAGCTCCGGGCATCGGCCACAGGCTGGCGTGGAACGTGGAGCAGAGGAGTCTTGAAACTTGAACCCGCCTTTTACCGGGAACAGTGTTTGCCGAGCCGCCCGAGGCCAGTGGTGCCCGGCAGCAGTCTGGGAGAGTGATGGGTTTAGGTTTTAAATTCAGCATTATTTGCCTTGTGTAGCACGACTGAAAGTCAAGTATTCACATGTAAGCCACGAAATATGTCAAATTCTAGTGAGCCACACCATATCATGAAGCATTCAAAAGAGCTGTGTTTTGCCAGCCTTGAAAGTGGCAATTATTGTTTTTGAGATTGTTAACAATTTGTGTGAAGTTTGCCAGTATTTGAATTATCTTTACAAAGTACATTTTATTGCTGTGTTGTCCAGTTGTGTTGATGAACTAGTTGAAATTAAGAATGGCCTTAAATCTGTTGAGGAGTCAGATACATACAACAGGATGGTTTTCTCGCTTTTTGTCCTGTAACGTTGGGTAGCCAGCGCGGCAGTGGCACGGCCTTTGTTACAAGGCAATGAAAATGTGTGTGATTGTGTGTGATTGACACTGGGTGAGTTTAATGGATCTGTTTGTCTAAGTCAGAGTTAAGTTGCAGTTGGTAACCTTTTATCTACTCTGTTAGGAGCAAGGAAGAACAAAGATACTGAGTAGCATAAAAAAAGCAAAAATCATTGCTTTTTTTAATGTGGGGTGGCCTTGTCTACTTTTAAAAACAAAATTATATTCTGTCGATTTCTAAATCTTTATCAATATGTTTTTAGGGGGAACAATCATGCCTCTTAGTTTTGATTTTAGACTACAGAGCAGTAAACGTACTGCACAGTAGGAAAGAGCATTAACCTGTGGGAAGGAATCATACCCCAAAGAGAACAGGTAGTTCCTTGGGAGGTATGCCAAGATTCTTGCCAGTAGTCTGGCAAGAGAATGAGGTCTTTTGGCTGTGCTTCTAGGGGTCGTTAGTCATATGCAGACACCTCTTTGGTAAAGCATTGGGGTTTGTCACTTCTTCCACTGACAGTTAAGTTTAGAGCTTAAAATTTTTAGCTACCTATTTGCTCTATTTCCCTTGCCTTGATTAAAAAAAAAATAGTAGAAACCACTAGTCGTAGTGCAGAGCCTCGAGTCCTAATGCACATAATTGTCTTCAATGAGTTACAAAAGCAAATATGATCTTGTGTTACATGTACTTTTTATAGCATTTTTTTTTTTTTGTGGAGTTCTTACTACCAGATCATTTGGATGAACACTAACTTGGTGATTTGCCCCTCTTGGAATTCCATTGCAGTGAAGTTCTGATGGTAGCAGTGTTCAGTATTGTCAGCCTGCATAAATTGCTTCAGAGGGAGGCTAAAAGCAATTAATGTGATTGATATCTGGGTCTGTGGCTTTGGTTTGATAGCTATACTTTTTTGTGAAATGAACCCTCTGCTGAAATCTCCTTGCAACCTCCCCTTTCTACAGTTTTTGTATCAAATTATTTACATCCAACTGCAATACATTAATCACACCACATTTGATTTTACTGAGTGTTTTGTATGTACATAAATCTTAAATTATATGCAGAACATGGATCCAAAAATAAGGATGCAAAATGAATATAAAATCCCCAGTGTAGCTAATGCTTGAAGAAAATCTGTGATCCTGTTCTAATTGTAAAACTGCCCTTTGTCCTTTTGGAAAGGAAGTAAGCTGTCTGGGCAGTGTATGTAGCTTTGGCAAACTTAATGTGTTGCCCTCTAGTCAGCACGCTTATGTAGTGTTTTGGACTACCAGACTCAGAGGAAATGTTCCACAATTGAATACACAGGTATGTCTAGGAAGCATGGGGTTCAGAGGGGCAGAAAAGGCTATTTTGGGTTACAGAGACTGTCTTTCATACTGATGCTGTCACATGTAGGGAACTTGGGCTACAAGTGCCATGGGAAGTTCTGTTTGTCCTTAAAGTTGCCACTAGTTGATCAATGTCCCAACATGTCTGGCAGGTGTTAAGATGACTAGGAGTCACAACAATTGATGGGCAAAGTTCAGAGTTATGGAGATTTAAAGACTAAATGAACCCTTGGCAAAGGTAGTAAAAAGCTGCAGAATGTGCTAAGAGAATGTTTGGGGCTGGGGCTGGGAATAGGGACAGTCAGACATACCTTTGGTCTGACTTGACTTCTCAAATTTGTGACATGTAATATTAATGTATCAAGTGCAACTGAAGTGTGAATGATGCAGAAACAAAAACATTTAATTTCTTATATGGTGGACAAACTTTAGATTTTCTACCAGCAATGTTGGAAGTGCAACCTTTGGGGAAGGTAAAAACAGTCCAGTTTTTAGTTTTAACAGTTCGTTGTTCTAAAACTTGCTAGGTAAGAATTCCATTAAGTCTTAAATACTAGTGCTGAAATAATTCTTTGGGAAAAAATGTATCTTTTTACTGTACAACCTGAGTATCTTTAGAGGTGAGAAAAGTCTTAAATTTTTTTTTATCATATCCAAAGGTTTCAAGAGAAACAGGATGGTGGATTGTGTATGAAGTGATTAGGTCACAATCTAATTTACAAAAACCTCCATAAATCCTTTCTTGTAACTAATAGTATCTGTGATATGAGTAGGTTTTCTACAAGACAGACTATTGGGTCCTTTATAATTTGCAGAACTAGATAAGGAACTGCATCAAAGACCCTAATAGTTTAGTTTTGCTTGACTGTATTCAGCAATAAAATCACATTCTTAGGCCTTTTTCTTTAAGGATCAAAATACTTTGTTTAGTGTAAAAAAAAAAAAAAATTAAGTCTGCGTTTGTTATCAGATGGTGGCTAGTGTCATGTTTTGGACCTTTGAAGAGAAATGATTTTACAATGGATATGAATATAACTTTGAAGGAGTACACTCTGCAGCTGGATGGGCTAATCAAAACCACTTTTTCAGATGTGTTCGTAACCCTCACTGTCTTTCAGTTTCTAGATGCCTTTTCTTCATCAAACACACTTAAAGAGTCAAAACAAACAAAAAAACCCCACCAACACACACACACCCCCCCAAAAAAAAAAGGCAGCAGAAAATTTGCTACCTGAGCTTTGGTTCAGGGCAGCTGCTCTAACAGGTCAGTGTGAAGTCATTCACTGTCCTGTGATGGGTGCGGTTTAGGTTATTTAGGTGCAGCTAGACTGAATTTGCATAGCTAGTTACTTTGCAGTAACTGTCCTTTATATGTGCTGTTTGTTCTATGTATCAAAAAAATGCAAAGTAACTGAGTATTTGTGAGAGGTTTTCCCTTATGTGATGTGAACCAATTATGGGAAGTTACTGCACATTAGCTGACATGATGGCTACTTCACATTGTGCCTTAATCCCATTTGTCTTCCTGTGCCATTACTGGCTTTGTAGTAATGGAATATGACAAGCCATGCATCTGCTGTATCTGTAATTCATCTGTATTTGCAGGAGCAATATTTTGGTTTTCAGCTCCCCTTGAGGTGTCAATAAGGTCTTTCCAGCAAGAGGAGAACTCTTGACTTTAGCTTGTGTTGTCAGTGGTGTCATATGAATAAAACCCCGAAGATACAAGAATTTAGGTGTGGTAGTTGTAAATGTGTTTTAGCTAATGAGAAAAAAAAGTCTAATCTTTCTTTGAAATTGTGTAATTAGTACTTAAAATGACTGGAAATCCTATTCTGGTATTGTCACAGGATCAAGAGTGCATGAGAAGCTGTTTATTTTATGAAATGTTGATTTGAGTTAGGGAAAGGCCTACTATTTGAATTTATTTTGGCCCTAGTGTTTTTGTAATTTATACTGAATTCTTTAGATTTATGGGCTGAGCACAAAAAGATTCTGTACAACAAAATAATTTTAGAAGGCCACAGATATGCCTTCTGGGGCCCAAGTCCAAAGAGCTGTGACTCTGCAAGGTAGGAGAAACACATGGGAGCAGAGGTTTGGCTCGCTCTCAAAAAAAAAAAAGGCCAAAGCAGGAATAACCTGCTGACAGTGGACACAACTCTGTCTGAAGGTCTGGTCCTCTTGCCATCTAAAGTTGTGTTCTGCACAATGTGAGGACATTGGCTTCCACCAGAACCACCTCTAGAACTGCTGAAGAGCATAGGTTGATGTTTAGACTTGACAGTGATGTGATTAAGTACTTGCATCACAACTAGCATGATGCTCTAGCATGACAAATGGTTTGCAAAGGGAAGTGTTGGAGTTGTGAATTCTTGCAGTCAGTGGACTGTAGGAAAGCTTACAGGATAATTTAATACCGGTTTTGTTCTGATTCAAAACATTGTGGATGTGAGGCATCTTTTAGGCTGGTGTCTTCTTAGTTGCAGCATTTACCAATAGAGCTAAGAAAGAATGCAACTTTTGCAAGTCCTGTAATTGCTCATAATGCTGAAAAAAAGTCCTATTTGCCTTGTACAGAGGAATTATAGAATACTACAACAGAATATATGTAAAATATTCAAGGAATATTGGAAGGAAAGCTCATCACTTATTAGCATTTTCAACTTCAGTGATGAGAGATTAAATACAGAGCTTCAGTAAAGCTCTTCTTAAAATTAGATTAGACTTCATTTTAGAAGAGTAAATGTCCTGTTCCTGTGGAAGCCAAAACATCCCTTTGGGTGCTAGGCTTCATTTATTGAAAGTTTTTTTTCAGTGATACATAACTCTGTGATACATAATTCTCCATCTGGCTTCCATAAATATGTTGAGCCTTAAATGGTAAGAAATTTATATTGTGTTCCCTGAAGGAAAACAAGGATGAGCTATAGAAGTTAGGCCAACCCACAGGGGATAATGACATGCTGCTGTTAATGTTGGTGAAAATGTTGATTTGTCTGCCAAATAATGTATTAGATAATTAAGAGCGGCTTTTTGAATTTTCAGCAAGCTGTCAAACCTGCCTTGGTCTCAAGTGCAAAGGTTGGTTTGACAAATGCTTACACTGTAGCTGTTTTTCTATTTCATTCCCCAGTGCTTTTTCAGGTATTTCAAGTAACTCTGTTAATCCCGTTGCTGGCAAAGACACCATGGCTGTGGTGGCAGGGGCATTTCCAGTGTGTAGAGAGAGTATGGCTTCCCCTCTTGCCTAACAGAAGTGTGTTCGTTTTCAGATGCTCTTCCCATCTCGAAACATTTGTGAAATGAAGAATAACTTGTAAATCACAACAAATGTGTAAACATAGGAAACTAATTGAAATCTTTCATTGATATTTTACTCACTAAGTTGAAATTACTAAGCGGCCTCCAGAATTAAAGCAGTTCTTATTTTTGAGATACTCAGGATGATGATGAAATGCTCTTTTCTTTTAGTAGTGATTTTAGATACTGTCTTCAGTTGTAGCTTCATGTTTAAGAGTAAGTAAAGAATAAGATGGAGGCCCTTTTCTTTCCTTTGTGCCAGACTTCATCTGCCTGGAGCATTCCTTGCAAAGTCTTGATTACCAAACAAAGCCGAGATGTTACTTGTTACGTCTTGATTACAGATATCATGTAACAATTTGTGTAAGCAAATGTTTCTGATTGTGTTGCAGGCATATGTTTTTCTTGCACATAAAAGAAGATCTTCTTGCTGGTAATCTTCAGTGTTCTTCAGAGCAAGCAATTGAACTTAGTGCATTGTTGGCACAGATGAAGTTTGGAGATTATAACCAGAACACTGCCAAGTACAATTATGAAGAGTTGTGTGCAAAAGAACTCACCACTACCATTTTGGAGAGGTAAAAAGCACAATGATCTAGTTTCCCTTTTGAACATCAACAGCAGAAGATTTTGTTATGTATTTAATTGCTGGTGATATAGTGTAAATGATTAATTTAACAGTAATAGCTTTGGAGTTCAAAATCTCCAACCTGAATGTTTGATGTTCTGATTTCAGTTAAATTTTTAAGCTCAATTATTGAGGTGGGTTTTTGTTTGTTTTTGTTGTTGTGGAAACTCTGGTAGGTGAGGAAATACGGATATATTTAAGTACCTGGAGCAGGGTATTTAAATTGTAAGTATGCCTTAGACCTGTACTTGTGAATGAAGGAATTTATCTGGCTTAGTGCCCTTACTCTGAAAAGTAAACAGAATTCTGAAACATCTTCATAACTCCTGAATATCCGGAAACATTGTGTATCATACTTTTCTGTCATGTTTTCTTTAGCTATAAACTTGGTGGTAGCTCAGGGAAATATGTTGGGGCTGGTGGTGTTATTTGGAAAGCTTTGGTTACATGTAGCTTTTTAATTTCTAAGCAAATGCACAGTATTTTCTCCTTGACATTCTCAGGATGTTTTGGTAATTCTCAACTATTTGCAGTTCATAATTGCTGGAAATCTACAGACAGATAAAGCAGGTCAGGAGCATTTACTAATCTGTTTAACTAGGTCATCTAAAAACCCGTGTTAAAACAAGCTGCTGACAGTAACAGCAGATACTGGAATTATTTCACCTATCCTTAATCTTTTTATCAACAGCATTATTACAAAGCACAAGGAGCTAGAAGGTCTAAGTCAAGCATCTGCTGAATACCAGATTCTACAGATTGTTACAACCCTGGAGAACTATGGGGTAGAGTGGCACTCAGTGCGAGATAGTGAAGGGCAAAAACTCCTTATTGGTGTTGGACCTGAAGGCATATCCATCTGCAAAGATGACTTCAGTCCAATCAATAGGTATGTGTTTCCTGGAACTGTTTGCATGATCAGTTTTTCAAAAATATGGAACATGCCTCTAGTTTTCACATAAATACACAAAACGGCTCTGAGAATTACTAAAAGTGACTATTGGGATGTTGGGTCTGAGGGCAGTACCTGCTTGTAATCAAGATAAACAAGTGACCTTAATAATCTTGATTTTTATATATATTTTTGAGGCAGCATCTTCAATCAGCAGTGCTGACTACCATCAGAAATCATTGTAACTTCTGATAAAAATGCACTGTTAATAGTTTTGTGGAAAATGCCCTAATTCTTAACAACTAAATAACCTTTATTTTTTTTTACATTAATTTATAGGATTGCTTATCCTGTTGTTCAAATGGCAACTCAGTCTGGAAAGAATGTATATCTGACTGTTACTAAGGAGTCTGGTAATAGTGTGGTTCTCTTGTTTAAGATGATCAGTACAAGGGCAGCAAGTGGACTCTACAGAGCAATTACAGAGACACATGCATTTTACAGGTCAGTATTGCCCCTAGAGTCATGTGCTGCTGCTCTTCTCCAGTGTTTGATCTAAGTGCTTAAGCAGCCAGCAGTCTTAACTGCACTTTGGAAATATTCTGCAAAATTCCATTGTCTTTGCAGCCTCCCTTTTCCTCTTAAGTCCAGAAGCTGAACCAGTTTTTACTACTTTCCATTTTGTGAGGTGAAGGTAACAAGAAAAGTAAGCAAAATTTTCCCACTGTGAATAACAGTATTTCAGAGTATAAACTTTTTATGTTCCTTGATACTTAATAAGCAATACATACATTTTTGTTCCTGTGTAAGAGAGAGAATGAGAGCAGTGGGGAAGATCTGGTCATTCAGAATGTGCAGATCCTTTATTTGGCTCCTTCAGTTGTTAGGTTATCTGTACGCCACCTTCCCATCCCCTATATAGAAACCTTCTTACAGTTCCTCTGTCCTTGCTCACATGCTCAGGATTTTGCTTCATGCCAGCACCTATCCACTGTTTCTGTCCTGTTGTTCCTTGAGGTAGGGGTGCTATACTCATTTGTTGGTGGGCAACTTTTCAACCCCCTTTCATTTCTACTGTGGTGTCCAACACTGATCAGTAAGATTAGCTGTCAAACATACTTAGCAGTGTTTTCTTAAAATTAACTACCACATACCAGTTTCAATTACTTCTTGATCTTTGTATCTGCTTGTAGTTTTCTGTCCTTCACAGTTTGATTTTAATTGAAGCAGAATTTTAGTTTGGCAATAGCATTTGGCCATAAGCTTAGATCTTGGACCTTAGGCCCTGTGAGGCTGTAGTCCTTCTTCTGTTTGTGTTTTCCTTCCTGTGTTGTCTAGAGAAGTGATATGCCTTAACAGGCTTCTGAAGATTCAACTGGATCACTGAAATATGTGACAAGCATGGTTAGGATAGCTGAAATGCACAGTGGCAAATACAAATGCCTTAATTCTCTACACTCCATTCACACTGGTTCCCTTCAGAATGACATAATACTAGCATATAAAGTACTGGACGGAAATTGGGTTAAAAACATTACTTGACTCTATGATAAAAATTGAGAATCAAAGACTCTTAATTGGAATTCTTTAGGGCCGCGTTTGGAAATGCCATGCAAAAAGGTGTTGCCAGGCTGAACTGTGGATTAAGCAACTGTTTGCTGTTTGTTAGTTAAGTCCCTTCTATAGGCTGACTCCATTTTACCAGACACTTGACATTTTGAAGATTTAAAGTAATTGTCACTTTCCATTTTACACTTTTCAAAGGGCAAAGATCATTCAAGAGCTTAAATATTACCTCAGACTGTTTCATTTGCTTTAATTTCAGTGCTGTTACTTCAACTTCGGGAACAAATTACTGTAGGATCGTTCTGTTGGTATTAACTAACCAAATTTGCATTTGTCCTATTGCTTTATAGGTGTGACACTGTCACCAGTGCTGTCATGATGCAGTATAGTCGAGACTTAAAGGGTCACCTAGCATCTCTATTTCTGAATGAAAACATTAATCTTGGTAAAAAATACGTCTTTGATATTAAAAGAACATCAAAAGAAGTTTATGATCATGCGAGGCGAGCTCTTTATAATGCTGGCATTGTGGATCTTGTTTCAAGAAGTGATCAAACCCCACCAAGTTCCCCTCTGAAGTCTTCAGAAAGCAGCATGAACTGTGACAACTGTGAGGGTCTCAGCTGCCAACAGACAAAAGCCCTGCAAGAGAAGCTGCGCAAGCTGAAGGAGTCCATGCTTTGTATGGTGTGTTGCGAAGAAGAGATAAATTCAACCTTCTGTCCCTGTGGCCACACAGTTTGCTGCAAGTCCTGTGCTTCCCAGTTACAGGTAAATGCAGTGCCATTAAGTTATGAGCTACCAATTTGTGTGGAAGGTTTGATTTTTTTTTTTTTTTTAAATATTTGATGGTCATGGATTAATATGTTTGTGTTGATGTTCTAGTAAAACTACAAAATTTTGTTTGTGGCAAACTTAATTTCAGAAAGCATTCTGTCTGAATGATGTGCTAACGTAATTTGTGATGAGGCTAAGAACAAGCTGCACGCTTCTCACCATACCCTGTCTTACATATGGAATGGTGGAAAAAGTGCTGTTATTGTGTATGTGAAGTCTGCAGGAAGTGCAGAGACTCTGAAAATACAGAGTAAACTAATTTCCCAATGTTTTTCCTTTCCAGTCGTGTCCTGTTTGCAGATCTCGTGTAGAGCATGTCCAGCATGTGTACTTGCCAACCCACACCAGTCTTCTCAATCTGACTGTGATATGATCTATACACACTTCAAATGCATCGTGTACTCTTCAAACTGCACTAATAAGAAATGCAACCATTGATTGTGAAGAAGGCAATCACTCTGGCACCTATCTACGATCAAAAGCAAAAAAAAAATACTGCATTTTTTAACAAATATTCTTTGTGTTCAGCATGTCCATAATGGTTTAGGACATCTTCTGAGAGTAGAAGTGTAATTGATTCATGTTCTTTAAAGAATGATCCATAAGTTTGTAGCGCAGCAGTGTTGCCACAAAGCTCGGTAACCCTGGAGAAGTGTGGTGTACACATGCAGACGTACCTGGCAAAAGCAACGCAGCCTTTTCTTTTACATGCTCTAAATCCTTTTTAGTACAGTTGCACTGTTTATTTTAATAGTAAGACTTGCTTTTACACATACCAGTTTAGTAAGGCTCATAGCTTCTGCTTTTAGTAAACTGCTTTTAAAAGGAGAGATCTCTTTTTAAAAAATTAGTTCTTAAACTGAAGTTACAAGGCTTCACTAAGCAGCTGTGCTTAACTCAGAATTTTGTTAAACAGAAAACAATTCAGAGAGAATAGCTTTGGAAAGGGAGGACAAGATTGTTAATCTGCAGGTGTTGAGGGTGGGTCAGGAAAGTCGTGTTGTTGCCAGTGTCCTGTGGAAGCACTGCTGTGGCAGTTCATTCACAGTTCTCAGTGGACAGGGTACTCCCAGGTTTCCCACAGTCCACTTCTGGCTGGTGGTCTTGGAAGGGCAAATGCCCTTCAAGTTGGCTTTATTTTTGAGACTGATTTTAAACATGCACCATTAATCTTTAAGAGTTATGTATAATTTTAAATGCTTTCTTCAGTTAGCATCTTTAGCAGGAAATTACCTACCCAATAAAATGTTTTTGATTTCCACCCCTTTACTTGGGCATTTTAGGCTCTAGTTTCCTAATGTCTTCTCCAGGGTACAGAGAGAACTGGAGACCATGTTTGGGTGCAATACTGGCTTAATCAAAGCTAGAAAAGTACACTGTCACTTTACTGAAATTCTCTGACTATACTTTTCATATTGCCTTAATGTAGCAGTAATGTGTGTTTATGCATCTGTTTCTTTGCACAGACATTTTGTCAAAATTAAAATTCTACTTTTTTATGACACATTAGCATATAAACCTTACTCTAAGAGGGTATTTATTTTTTCACTTTGTAAAGAAAATTTTGTTTCCTCATGAAGCAAGAGCTTTGTCCTATATTGTAGGAAGCTTCTGTCTTTTTTATATTCAGATTAATAAAGGACTTTAAAAATCTTTGTGTTATTGCTAAGACTGAATTTGTTCTGAAATTTATGTGAGGCATTACTGAACTGAAAACAATGCAGTATTTTTGTGTTTACAGTCTTGAATATTTTGTCATGTTTGAGGTAATGAATTTTTCTCAAGTGCATGCGAAGGAGAGAAGAAAACTGACATTTGTTACAGACAAGTGAACTTTAAAACAGCTGACATATTCAAACTGTAGCATAGCCTTCCAAATTGATCTTGTGAAGAATATTTTCTACAGTAAATTGCCCCAAATCTGGGGCAATATCCCTGGAGGTATATTACAGGGGAATGAGAGAAATTAAAGAATGCAGCTTGAGAGTAGAGGATTGGAGTTTCATTGTCAACAGTGTCCTGTCTAGCAAGTTCTTAATTACAGATGTGTTGGTGTCTTTTTTGATTGGAGCTATTCAAATTTGCTAACTTAAAAATTCTCCTTTTACGTTGTTGAAGAGATGGTGCTTCAGCACTTCCAGGGCTGTGCTGTGCAATGAAAAGGAAGGAGTGGGTGTACAAGTGTGTTCAGAAAGACTCTGTCCAGCTATTGTACCAGCATACAGTGGTGCTTGAGCAAACCTTTGTGTCCCATGATTACAGCCAAATTATGTTAGTAACATCTAATCTATTATCTTATGGCAGCTGGCTGAAATTGATTGTAAATTAATATAAATATATGTTAATATAGGAATCTGATTTAAAGCATGCAACATGATGAAGCTGTTTAAATAGGCAAGCATTAACTCCAGGTTCTTGTAATTAAATAGATTGTAAAAGACCTTGCTAATAAAAATAATTCCAGTAGTTAGAACTCTCATCAAAGTAGGGTTTGAAACTGGTTCTATGGCAGTGGTGGAATTTGGCCAAATCCTGTGACTTCTGTAAACATACCCTGTTTAGTGTTGGAAAGCTGCGCAGGGCACCAGCCCAAGCTGTGAGGTCTGAGTGCAGGCAGGAGCCTGGCCTGGTGCAGGCTGTGCCTGGAGCTGCTGGGAACCTGTTGGCAAAGCAACAAGTGAAGGCTGGTGGACTTGGCAGATAGGTGGGGGTCTGTGGTTTTTTTTAATGAAATTATGTGACCTGTTCTGAGAATTGTGCAGCAGCACACCTCTGCAGTGTTGTAAATCACTACAAAAGCCTCACTTGGTTTATATGTAAGAAAAAATTTCATGTAAATCAATGCAAGGATTGCTTTGATTTGTTCACAGACTTCTTTCTTCAGAAGCATTGTTTGAAATGTAGTTGATCATGCTCTGCTAGGAAAGTTTTGCTTAACCGTCCAGCACTGCTGTGACTTGTGTTGCTCAATGTTTGTAGGTCGAGTACACTTTATTACAAGGAGTACCTGTGTCTTGTCCACGTGAGCTGCTGAGTGCTCAAAGGAAGGAAACAACAGGAAATCTTGAACTCCACATGCCATTAAGTCATACTGCAGAAAAAGTCAGGGCTTGTTTGCTGAAATGCTGTTTTCTCCAAAGGTGCTTTGAATGTTGCAATGGATGGCAGAGGGGGGAAAAAACCCAAAATCCCAAGCTAGAAAACAACAGCACACTTTGTGGGAGTGACTGGAGTGTGTGTCCTTTACAGGAGCATTGATCACAAAGCTTCATTTGGCACCTCTCACACTTAAGTCAGCTCTGGTACCAATATCTGCTACCCAAAGCTGGTACAACTTGGCAAGAAAACTCATGGAACATTCAGTGTTTATTTATCTTCAGAACTGCAGAGCAGCTTCTGTAATCCCATTGGGTGTGTGCAATGTCACTTTAAAGTGCTATTAGTCTCAAATTTCCCCCACAACTACCTAAATGGGAAAAACGCCTTGGGAGACAATATGACTTGCTGGGTCAGTTTGAGCCAGAGGCTTGCTAGAGACATGCACCTCCTGAGGGCAGAACAGCATTTAAGAGCAGCCCTGTGGGGAGAGGGTTCCATGAAGGAGATCTGGAGAAGACAAAGTACTGAAGTAGTTGCACTTGAGTGTTATTAATAAGTAAGACAGGGCTGTGAGGTTCCAGACTTACATCAGTATCTCCCTGGCTTTCATCCTCGCCTTGCTGTACCAAGGTCTCTGTTTATGGAGAGCTCAATTGGCGAGGGGTTCCAAAGGCAGCATGTTGAGACATTCCAAGCTACAGCTGTTATAAAGGCACAGCTCCATCCTCCAGCTCATAGTTGCTCATTTCAAGCTACATACAAAATGTTCAAATGCTAAAGAACTGTAGAATGAAGGCTTCTGTATTTTTTAATTATTTTGATTTCTTCCCCAAGTGCCATAAAAGCATGTACACAGCAGCATTCATATATGTGGAGATTTATTTCCTTGCTAAATCAGCAGTGTTGCCTTCCTAGGAGAATGCCCTTGGGGGAAAATTCTCATCTGTCAGCCTACGCTGTTTCATTTCACAGCAGCACGCTGCCATGTTGATCAAAGACGGGGAAAATAACAGCTCAGATTTCCTGTGTATGCTTTTGAACAACAAACTCCATGGAGTGTTAAAATTATGAATTGACAAATTTTAGCTTCAGTAATGCCTGGTCAAACATCCTTCTGGAATTACCACCACCATTTTCAGTGAAAGAATGCTGTAGTGCCAGGCAAATGCTTCAATCACTTTGTGCCCTCAGATTCAGCCAGCTGGAGCTTGTTAAATCAGAACGTAGGAACTGACAAATACGTTTAAAAAGTAAAACTATGGAGGGGAAAGCCCCCACAACCTGGCGTGCCTTGTTAGAAGAAAGGTGGACTTTCCAAGGCAGGGCCTGAGCAGAGTTTTGCTGGAGGAAGTTTGGGTGGAGGCTCCCGCTATGGCGTCCAGGGCTGTGGCTTCAGGGACAGGTGGCCTGATAGGAGCACCACTGACCCTTAGCAAGAAGGGCTGGGTGGGATGCAGACTGGGAGAGGCAGGAGAGGGCCAGGCAGGAAATAAGGCATGCTGGGGCAGGCAAGCCACTGCCAGGCCAGTAATTCCCCAGGGAAACTCCCACTGGAGCATTCTCCAGACAAGCCACAGCCAAACCTCCCTGTCTGCAAGGAGCCCTGAGCATCACACCACTGCAAGAGTAAACACCAGCTGGAACCCCATGGTTCAACATGGCCTCCAGCAGTACTGGGTGGTAAAAGCTACCAAGGTTTCTGGGTCTTCTGGTTTCCTGCAAGGGGTGGTGTGAGCTAGGAAGAGGCGCCAGGAGGAATGTTGAGGAGGAACTCTCAGAGCCTCAGCTAAAGGAGTCACTGGTTGGTGCAGCAGTAGGAAAATGCAAATTGTGACAACTCTGCAAACTCTCTCCATGTGACAGTGAGACACGAGGGATCCAAAAGATTGAATCGGGCTGGTAGTCCTGGGTGCTCAGGGATGGTGAGCAGGGTTCAGCATGACCTCTGGTTCATGCCAGGATAGGGGACTTTTGGGGGCTGGCCAACAGCAAACTTTCAAAGCACTCATGCGTACGCCAAGTTCCTGAAAGAAAAAGGTCAAGCAAATAGACCATACCAGCTTTCCCAGAGTTTAACAACAGGTCACTTGCTGATTTCTCATCAACTGCAAGAATTTATTTCAGCTGCTTGGAGGCTGGGCAGAGTGGGGAATCAGTCTGATCCTGAAAGTTGATGCCTTTCTCTGCCTTCACTTTGCCCCTCTCTGAGTGACCTGATTTAACATGTTTGCTATTTCCTAACCCTTCCTTATTCTTGGAGATTCTTCTGTTCTCTCACCAGTAATTTCTGGAATCCAGGCTCTGAAGCCAGCCCTTCTTCATCTAGCAGCTATTCTCATAAACTCTGCTCCAGGAAAATCCGACTTGCTTTGGCCAATCCTGTCCAGTGAGGACGACACACACACACCACCTCCACCTCTTTCTGTGCCTTGTCAGGAGTGCAAAGGGCTCCATCTCTGGCAGCAAGAAAAAAGGAAGGCAGTATAAAATAATCTTTCCTCTCACCATTGGGGTGTCTAAATAAGACTGTTTGTCTGTAGCTGCCTTGTCAGGATCACTTAGTGGTTCCAATGGGAATAACAAGGTGTGCATGTGTGTGAAGGGATTTGCCAGCTCTGCTTCATCCAGTAGTTTGTGTCTGGCTTCTCTGCTTCTTCAAATCAAGCCAATGCAGGTAATGAGAGCCAGTAACATGGCAACTTTTTACATAAACAGGCTTACCAGAGCCAGATCTTCCTCCTTCCTGCCAGAAAGCTGTTTGTCTGAGGAATCCATGCATCTGGCACCAAATTCCAATCATAGCACTAAAACTGCGGGAATTACAGAGATATTGGCACCTCATCTGAAGAGACAGTACTTGTTTTCCTTGTTTAGAACTATAAATAGTCAATAGAGGACTCTCATTCAAGCAGTATTGATGATTGAAATAAACCAGGCATGGAGACACGGCCGAAAATTGGACTCACGCTGCAAAGCCAAACCAGCTCTTGCTTCAGAAGCTGAAGTTCCAAAAGGGCAATGCAAAAAGCAAACTGGCCCTGAAGGTACACTGACACACCAGGTGTCCGTGTGTGACCGTCAAACTGCTTGCCTAGGTCACTGTTTGAACTGGAATTTTTTAAAAATGCCTTCAGCTCTGCTGTGGTTTGAGCAGCTGACTTCCTCCCTCCCCTCCCCGAGGCCCACGAAGTGAAGCAATAGCGGGGTGGCCTGAGAGCACCCTGCCTGAGCAAGCCACTGGCAGCACCATGCACGCTCTTCAAGTGCAGGTGCAGGGTCTTTATATTTAGCACACTGGAAGTGGTGCTTTACAGCCTTATCAGGAGAGCTCTCCAGCCATGGGGGAGACAAGCATTTGAACCTCCCTTGGTGACAAAGAAGTAAATGACAACAGTTGTTCTGTTCCCTGGGTGGAAAATGCCTCTGCTACAACAGGAGGGAAAAGGCTTTCTGTTTAGGAAAGAGAGAGAGGGTGAGAAAAAATATTAGTTTCTGGTTTTAAGAATAATTGCCAGTCTCTTCTTGGAGAAGACTGGTAGAAATAAAAGGACTTC